ATTTCTATCCCACAATGCTATAACATATATATTTTAGAACTCGCAAGATATAATTTCACCTCATATAAGTAATTTACCCCACCCCAATCCTCATGATGACATGATCCATACTCTTGGATCTAAAACAAATCGCTTTACCCAATCCATACTCTAGGATCTGGTATCCATAATCTCGGACAATGAATGAATGTACCTATTCTATACTCCCAGAAAAGGGACGAACGACTTTGTCTAATCCATGTTCTCGGATCAATACCAAATGACTATGTCCAATCCATACTCTCGGACTAGGGACGAATGGCTATGTATAATGCATGCTCTCGAATCAAAGACAATTTTTTGAGTACTACCCTCCATGTATATCTCACCCATACTCTTAAGGAGATACCACTCAATATTCATCTTAATTAAGTTAGGTCTATTCTATAATTCCTAAAGCATCATATATTATGAGATATGTTCTTAACACATATCCCAGGCAATAGAAAATATTTCACATATAAACTCCTTAACACATATCTAATACTTTAATTATTAACTATACTAAAATTGTGTTCATGAAAGGGACTATGCACTCACTTGTTAAAGTGATGAATTGAAACTCAGATAGTGCTTCGCTCCTAGCAATAGTGTTTTCCTTTGAGTTAACCTAGTATTATTATCAATGAGTCTTAGGCTAATATTTCTTTCGACGAATTATTAGTGTATATTCATCATTAATTCAAAGTATACTACAAGAAGTATCAAATAAGGATTAGCCAGGCTGGACAGTTGGGATGTAGGATTATTTCGGCATATAGCTTTTCTGAAATCCAACAACCAAGAAAACGTGACCATTCTAGGAACCTTTCCTTTAAGTAGATCAATCAGTATAATGATTTGGAATCATTAATAAATCTTGTTTACAGGTTCATAATAACGATAATGAACTTAAACATATGTTATACTTAAAGTACGGTAAGCATAACTTAACTTACAAGTGGCTTAGCGAGAAACCAGACTCTGTACGGGCAAAACTTCAAAACCAAAAACTCTAATGCTCGGGGATTTCTAGCGTGCCAGAGCTTCGCTACTGACACCTACAAAGTGCTAAAGAAAGGCCTTGGGACCTTGGGGGGTTTGGGAGAGAATAGAATGGAAATGTGTGAAGAAATGAGTGAAATTCAACTTTATTTATAGGCTGCCCAGAGGCCTCTCACGTCATGAGACATGCCTCTCATGTTGTGAGCATGCGTAGGCACCAAGGTTTCACCTCTGGTGTTGACACATGGAACCGGATGCTAGTAAAACTGTAGATCTTTCAAAATTCATAAATTTTGTATAACAGCTCTAGATTTGATGTTCTTTATATCCGCGCGCAAGTATTTTCGAGTACTAATACTTTTCTTTTGACCCTATTGGCTAATTCTTGACCGATCTTAAATTTAACAGTCTGAGAAGATTACACCGTTAATAACCATGTAAAATTCATAACTTCTACATATGGACTCCATTTTCGACTGTCTTTTTATAGTTAAACTCCTATTAATGATATATTCAATTCTCATTTCGATCATTTTGACTAACAATCAACTAATCTAAAATTCGATTTCTATGCCCGTGCTATTGCGTTGAATCTTCGAAAAATCATAACTTCCTCTACTAAAGTGATTTGGATATTCTCTATATGCATACTCTCAGTTTAATAAATACCATGAATTTAATTTAGATTACTAAGGCTTAAAAGTACTTTATAAAAATTTCACTTTTTATGATACGTAGAGTCTGTTTAATCACGAAACTTCGAAGAAGTATAACTTCTTCATATGAAGTCGGATTTTAGCGCTCTTTATATGTACCGAAACCTTCTCACATATACTATAAATTTTGTTCAAAGTATTTCTCCTCAATGATCTTCTCTTAAAAAGTCATTTTTAACGCTTGTTATCTCTTAGTTGTCTAGCCTGAATCTGCGGACGTTACATACTACTAGTTGAAAGGAGTCTAGAGTTGTGACTTGTAATAAGTAAAATACTATTAGTAAGGATGATTAGAATCAGAGAGTAAACATACATTGAGAATGTATGATGATAATAGATAATAAAATGCAAAACCCTCAGCTATATGAGTAGAGTTTAAGAGTTGTTGCAGTTATGAGTTAGTTAACTTAACTGCATTATAGTAATATTTACTTTTGAGATTTGGCTTTGATACCTAGAAAATTGATTTAGAAATAAATTTGTTTTTCAATTGTAGAATGGTCTTTAAAGACCAAAGGTTTAGAGGTTTACAAACATGTTTGAGATACATGTAAAATTTAAGCATTATAAAAAATGGTGAAAGTTTTAGACACTATTGTAGCAGGAGTACAATATCTAACATGATAAATTAAGGTATGACTTAATTGGGTTCCTATTATGATAGAGATAAATAAGTAATTAGTTGTCACTACTAGAAAAACAACCTTTTATGACGCTCATTGCGCGTCGTAAAACGCTCAGACGACGCGCAAATGCGCGTGAAGGAAGGCCATGTCATAACGAGAGACGATGCGCTTTGCGCATCCTCTATAGAGGACGCGCATTTACGACACGAATTTATGACACACAATGCGTATCATTAAAACACCTGTCAAGAAAGGCCATGTCATAAACGAAGATGACACACATTTTTGCGTATCGTAAATTTAAATGTTTAAAAAAAATATATTTATATATTTATTAATTTTTCATAAGAAATAAAATACCATATACAAAAATACAATCCATTGCATAATATAAAATAAAATTTCATACTCATAAAATAAAATAAATTGCACAAATTATAATATGTCATACAAAGAATCATTCAAATGTTAAACAAAAATAATACATTACGAACATGGGTCATACATTCCTATAAAACTAACAAATAATCATCCAACTCTGTTTCTTACTGGAATATGTGTGTAATTGTCTCCTTCATCAGCCTCCATGTCCAAAGTCGGATATACCTTCCTAATATGTATGTATAACAAAGACACATGTGCTAAACTTGTTACAATTAACATTTGATTGTATGGAATCGAGTGTTAAACTTGTTACCATTAACATCTGATTCATATGGTCCACAGAAAGCCATGTGTTCTTCACCTCTAATTCAACAAGATTGTTACCTGCATAAATGAAAACAAACAGGAACATTAACAACCCAATTATGAACAATTTCATAGGATGCCATAAATGATGATCATTAATAAGTCCTTTCAAGGATAATTTGGTCTGGATAGAAGATTAAACTAAATACAAATCATAAAGATTCTAAAAAACAGTTGACTGCATTGGAATTGATGGCTTACTAGAAGAATAAGATAGAAATGAAATAATAAGAGTTATAAATAACCATTGCGCATGAGGTACAGAGGGAATCTTTATCTGTACAGTCTATTTCTTGAAAGATCTTAAGTAGTTCAGCCAAAAATTCACAATGATTAAGTAGCAATCGACTACAGTTTGCCAACTTAGTGAGGCCAAAAATTCACCAATAACTAGCAAGCAACTATAGTTTAACAAGTAACAACACGTGATATTAAAAACCATAGAAAGGTACAAAATTTCCTCTATTGAGATCAGATCTGTAACGGATCTTATCATTTCACATCACTAAAAGGACGACTTCGCAATATAGCAACAACTTCACAAAAGAAAATGAAAAAATAAATCTAGCATATAAGAAACTTAGAGTAAGCAGAAACTAGAGAATTACATAGCAGTTGTATACCATTCCTTTATGACAGGGCCTTCTTGTATGTATAATAACTTAAAATCCCATGAAGAGCAAAGTGATTATCTATTGTTATTAGTAAAAGTAACTTACAAAAAAAAACAAAAAAAACTTACTGTTAAAATTTGAGTAGACATTTGGATTCCAACCAATAAACTGGGACATCAGACAAGAAGTTGAGTTCTAGAGAAGTCTGATGAAATAATTGTCTAGAAATTACCTGAAATAAGAAAAAAAAACTTACTGTTAAAATAACAAAAAAAAAAACTTACTGTTAAAATTTTATTCATAGATGAACCAGGGAGTGTTGTGCCATTTTGGAAAACATCAGCTCGTGCTCTATACATAATTGTCTAGCAATTTCCAGAAATAGATATGAAATTATCTCAAATGAAGAAAAATCTGAGAAAAAGACAAATGGATTACGTGTGTTGATGTAACTACATGGGCCATAACAAAAATTAAAATTAAATGTTTTCCAAATATATTTTAGAGTCAATTACAATTCGGTCCTTGAAATGTAGCTTTTTTGCTATTTTCGTCCCAAAATGTTTTATCTTGCGACAATGGTCCTCATTTGAGACGCTTGCAACGTTACTTATTCCAGTTCCAAGTAAAATGAAAATTTTTGAGAACAAAATTGTAAAAATCAGCTATACTCAGGGACTAAAAATGTAATTTACTCTATATGTTATTATTAATAAATGAAGAAATATGCTGACATCATCATCATCATCATCATCTTGTTCTGGTTCTGAATCATTGACACCATTGTTTTTCCCAAGTAACTTCTTTAACTCCTTGCCAGATTGGCTCAGTCCTCCTTCCTGTTCTTCATTCTCTTTCTTATCATCTTCATCCTGGATATATATTATTTAATTTTTTAAAAAACAATATTTTTATTTTATCTGTTTTTTTAAAGTTAACCTGTTTGATTTCAGGATGAGCAGGGATTTCAGGGGCTAATAAGTCTTCACGCTCTTCAGGATCATTACCAACTGCTTCATCATCATCTGTGAAAACCTCCTCATGCTCCCAGTCATCACCTAAAATCTCACATATAAGAACAAATAAACAAACAACCTATTTTCATTTTTCATGGAAAATTCAAATTTAAGTAATAAATGGAATGTGTCATTCCATTCCATTATCCAAATAACAAAACAATCACCTTTCTCAATATCATCATCATCAAAATCAGGATCACCACCTCTAGGGCCTTCCTCCTCATCATCACCTCCTCTTTTATTAAGTCTAAGTCAATTTTTCCTTGCAAACTCTTCATCCTCATTTTCTTCTCCTCTATCTGACACATTCCCTTCATCATCATTTGCATTATTCTTTTTACGCCCTCTGCCACCACCACCTTCCTTGTCATCAGGCCTTTCAACTTCACCAAAAGCAGTTGCACCGTTGTTTGCAGCTTTCATCATCCATATTTCATACCCATCTGCAGTTTTCCTTCTGTTTTTTTTTATCTTTTCTTCTGCTTCCTCAAGTGTAAGTTTCTTGTATTGTGCAACTTTGTTGAAGTTTAACTAAACACCAAATGCAATAATAACAAGTGTTTGTTGTATATCACTAATGGCATGTTTTTTTTCATCAAGTGTTGTATACACATCATCTTTTTTTGATCTATATGTGCTTTTTGTATAGTATTTACATTCTTACTTTGATCCTCCATTTAAGGGCTCATGTTTCATATGGGATTTGGGTATTGTTGTTTTTGTTTACCCTTCTGTTTAGAGTCAATGCAGAATAGCAAATGATTGTTTATTTGATAGTTGTTAGAAACTCAAAGATTTGAGACTTTAAAACACTACACAGATAAAGCCATGATTCTGTTAACAATCATTGGTTTATAGTTGTATAATTATACTCTTACTTACCATAGAGGAAAGATCATATTTAAACATGTCGAATCTCTTTTCTATTAACCAGTAATCATGAAATGGGCCCACAAGTAGAAGGCATCCAGCATGGATAGCTGTTGTATGTCCCAACAGATTTAAAAAGCTTAATTGTACATCATATCAGTTGCTAGAAAAACCTATGCAAAATGAGACAAAAATCACAATTAATTATTGATAACTTTGAATTAAATCTCATAACAAATATAATTATTGAAAAATTTGAGTTTGTTACCTTTTCAAACACATTCTGAACATACCTAAGAGCAACAGTTCAGTGCTGGCTATTTGTCCAGAGGCAACCTGCAACAGATTAAGGAATTAGTTTTCTTTATATATTTATTTATATAAAAAAGACAAACATATGTAAGTGAGAGTAAAATTACCATGTTGTCTATGTTGTATCTTGCAGCATAGCCAAGACTAGATTTGCGATGTTGACCAGCCCATAACACTTCCCCACCTAAAGATAGGTGAACGATCACACACTGCAAGTAAAATATTACCCATGAGAAAATGCTGATATATATACAGACCTTAATTCAGCTTTCAATGCGTTCAATTCCTGGAAGATTGATTGATATGTTTGAGCTTATCACTACCTACCTTTCTGTAAATCACGAATTTGACGACCCTTTGGAACCCCACCATAAATGCAAGTATGATTAATCTTTGAAGATGCGCCACATCATCAATCAAATGAAATATATATATATATATATATATATATATATATATATATATATATATATAAACTTTAATGGAAATAAAGATAAAAAATATGATATGGAATTGTACCAAGATCTAAGGCAGGAAAGATGGAAAAGATGGTTATATGAGAGCTTCTTAGCCTTGACCATTGGTTCCCTTGTAGATAACATAATTAACTAGTCTCTCCACCATTTTCCGTGATTCAGTTGCATGCAGGTCATCAAAAAATATTGTCTGCATGACAAAATATATCATCAAAAAGAATCAAGACTCAGTGTAAAAATTTAGAAAAGTTAAATACCTTAAGGGAGAGGATGATGAGTATAAAAATGTTGATGACAAAATTGACCACTAATGCAACTATGGTATGAGAACTCAACAAGAGTTCAAATACACAGTTGGCAACACTAGGGTGGAGAAGGTTTTCACCCATCAAACCATTGTTGGCCTTTTTACAAGCCTGCAATCAATGGAACAGGAACAGGGGCAAAAAGAGGAAAAAGACAGAGCACACAAGTGCTTAAAGCTTGCAGCTTTCTGGAGCCTTTCTTCTTACTAAACTCAAAAAGGAAAAGTGATAAATACAACGTTACCACTAGCTATCTATTTAAACATGAAATAGTGCTAAAATTTCTGCAACTACCCCTACTAGCTTAAGACTCGGACATTCAACAGCCAACATGGCTTGAATTATTCAGCACATAAAAACATGACATAAAACAATTAAAAAAAACTATTTCTGAATTATTCCATCATTCTCCTCCCTAATTCAGAAGTCATACCTTCATTACTCCAAGTAGATCACGCATCACTTCGAATTTCAGTCTTCCAAGTGGCTTTGTTAAAATGTCTGCTTTCTGTTCTTCACTTGGCACAAATTTCACAGAAATTTCCCCATTTTCTACACATTCTCGGATGAAATGAAACCGAATATCTATGTGCTTACTCCTTCCATGGAAGACAGGATTTTTCATCAGGTCAAGAGAGGACCTGTTATCCAAGTTTATTTCAACTGGGGGTACATTTTGACCTGTTATCTCTCTCAGAAGTCTTCTTAGCCATATCCCCTGACAAGCTGCTAGAGTAGCAGCCATGAACTCAACTTCACAAGATGAAAGGGCTACACACCTTTGCTTCTGAGATGCCCATGTGATCAGGCTATTGTTCACATAATATGCCATGCCTCCTGTACTTCGTCTATTATCTAGATCATTAGCAAGATCACTGTCTGTGTAACCAGTGAGACTTACATTTTCTTCCCCTTTTGTGTACCTTAAGCCAAAGTCCAACGTACCTTTTATATACCTGAGTATATGTTTTACAGCTTGTAAATGTTGACTTGTTGGCTTTTCCATATAACGGCTCACAATTCCCACTGTAAAGGTGATATCTGGTCTAGTGTGAGTTAGGTACCTTAATGCTCCAACAATGCTGCGATACTCAGTGGGGTTGACCCAATCTCCTTCTCCATTCTTTCTCAGCTTGAGCTTGTGCTCCATTGGGGCTCTTGTGGGATTGCAATCCTTCATCTTTGTCTTTGATAACAGGTTTTTGGCATAAGCTTCTTGCTTGAGTGTAATTCCCCCTTTATATTGTTTCACCTCTATGCCAAGATAGTATGTCAACAGTCCGAGATCACTCATCTCAAACTTGATATTCATGTCGTGTTTGAACATCTCTACATTCCTTGAGCAGTTTCCTGTCACTATTAGGTCGTCTACATACACACCTACAATTAGAACATTCCCATTTTCCTTCTTTGTGTAGACTGAGTACTCATAGGCACATCTCTTGAATCCGAGAGCCTTTAGATGTTGATCCAGACAGGCATTCCAATCTCTAGGAGCCTGTTTGAGGCCGTACAGGGCTTTCGACAATTTTAAAACCTTTTGAGCTTCTCCTTTCTTCTGAAATCCTTCAGGTTGCGAGACGAAGACTTCCTCCTCCAAATTGCCATTTAGAAATGCCGATTTGACATCTAAATGGTGCACCTTCCATCTGCTTGACCCAGCCAAAGCAAGAATGAGACGAATTGTCTCTATCCTTGCCACAGGTGCGAACACCTCTTCAAAATCGACTCCATGCTTCTGTACATACCCCTTCGCCACAAGCCGAGCTTTGTGCTTGACAATCTTTCCTTCTGGATCTTTTTTCAGCTTAAACACCCATTTTAATCCGATGGCCTTTCGATTCTTTGGAAGATTCACCAAGCACCGAGTGTTATTCTTTTCGATCGAGGCTATTTCAGCCTCCATCGCCTCTCGCCATTCTTTCTTTTTGCTTGCTTCGAGATACGATGCCGGTTCCTCATCGCTGTGAGTCAAGAGTAGTTCTTCAGGGGGTAGAACAATCTCGTCAGTGCTATCATACAGCTCTGTGAGCGTTCGATAGCGTTTGGGAGCACCACCGCCGGTGGAGCTCGAAGTGGTGGTAGACTTTATCGAAGGGTTTTGGGGGGACTGAGAAATGGGGGAATTGGGTGTGATTGGGGAATTTACCGGGGTATTTGGGGTTACCGGGTTCGGGTGACCCGATTCATTTGTCTGGTCAAAATTGTTTGACTGTTGCGACCCGATTTGATCTGGTGTGTCCTGCACCCATTGTCCCTATTCTTCTTCATCATCAAAGAATTCACTTTCAAGATCAAAGCCTTCAACGGTGAAGCTCATTCCTGGCATAGCTTTGATCTTCATGCTATCTTCCCAATTCCAGGCTCGTTTTTCTTCAAATACCACATCACAGCTCACGTACATTCTTCCGGTATCTGGGTCCAATAGCCTATAGGCTTTTGAGCCTTTTTCAACTCCAAGGTGAACTAGCTTAATGCTTCTATCTTCCAGCTTCTTTAGGTGACCTTTCATAACCTTCATATGAGCTACACAACCAAATACACACAAATGATTCACCTGTGGCTTTCTCCCGGTCCATATCTCATATGGAGTTGCATTCTTCAAAGCCTTTGTATGTGCCCTGTTTAAGATATAAACAGAGTGGATTACAGCCTCCCGCCATAATACATCAGGCATTTCCATTGTCTTAAGGTTGCATCTAGCCATTTCAAGTACTGTTCTATTCCGTCTCTCTACTACTCCGTTTTGCTGTGGAGAGTAAGGAGACGTATAGTGTCTCTGCATCCCTGTTTCATCACAGTACCTTGTGAATTCATTTGACAAGAACTCACCTCCCCTATCGGTTCGTAATACCTTCAGCTTCTCCCCTGTTTCAGTCTCAACTTTGTTTCTGAAGTTCTTGAACACTTGTAGTGCCTCATCCTTTGTTTTCATCAGATGTATCCACATTACTCTGCTGAAATCATCAACAATCAGCATAAAGTATTGATTCCCGGAGGGTGTAGGAGGTGTGACTGGCCCACACAGATCACCATGGACCAGTTCGAGTCTTTTCTTTGCTATAAACTTTGTATGTGCTGGGAATGGGTTTCTCGTTTGCTTACCCACCAGGCAGCCATCACAGGGTGTTGATAGTACTGAGAATTTTGGTATTTCATTGATCATTCCTTTTTCCACCATTTGTTTCATGGAATTGAAATTGATGTGCCCCATTCGTTTGTGCCACAGCCACATTGAATCATCAACTTCGACTTTGAGACATACCGCCCCGAATTCCTCTAATTCTATTTTGTAGAGTCGGTTATTTGATCTACGGACCTTCATCAACAATCTTGCAGATGAGTTGCGAACCCATAGAAAAGGATCTTTAATCTTTATTTCATCTCCTCCTTCTGCTAACTGTCCCAAACTAATGATATTACTACACAAATCAGGAATGTAGTAAACTTCATTCAGTTTTCGTCTCCCACCATCTTTGCATCTAAATACGATTGAGCCTTTCCCTTCAATCTGTACTTTGGATTCATTGCCAAACTTTACAAAACCTTGTATGGTCTTGTTCAGGTCTGTAAACTTGGACTCGTCTCCTGTCATATGATTGCTTGCCCCCATATCAAGATACCAAATACGAGACGAGTTCTGAGAATTACCATGAGTTCGTAGCCGAGGACTGATATTTTCTTCATTCAGAAATACCTTGTTTCCATCTTCATATGTTGCGAGTAACAAAGCAGGTTCGTCATCTTCATCTTCCCGAATTAGATTACTTTCGTAATTTCATTCTTTCTTTGGATTTTTACATTCGGCAGCATAATGCCCAAATTCCTGGCAATTATAGCACTGAATCTCGCTTTTGTCTCGGTTACTTGACATATTTTGGCTTCCCTCTTTCTGATGGTGTGAATTTCCCCTTCCACGACCACCACGGCCACCACCGTTCCTTCCTCTGCCTCTACCACGACCTCCACGAGAACCTCCAAATCCACCCCGGCTTGACTTTTGTTTTGGATCACCCTCTTGTTTCTTTTTGTTTCTATCAGACCACTCTTTGTGAGTCAACAAGAGTTTCCGATCATCGCTTTCACATGAGCTCTTCATACGTTCTTCATACGCCTTAAGCCTCCCGATTACTTCCTCAACGGACATCGATTCCAAGTCTCCAAATTGCTCGAGTGTCGAGGCAATCTGAAGAAATTTGGATGAAACTGCCCTCAATAGTTTCTTCACAACTTGAGATTCTTCTACCTTGTCCCCCAAGGTTCTTAATGTACTGACTGTGTTGATGATTTTTCCGGTGAAATCATCAACACTCTCCGTTTCTTTCATGCTCATGGCTTCAAACTCAGCTTTGAGTGTTTGGATCCTTGCAACCTTCACTGTATCTGCCCCCACAAACATGATTTTTAAGGCTTCCCAGGCTTCTTTAGCAGTCTTCTTCTCCGCCAAAGTCATTAGTAAATCCTCAGGTATCCCCTGATAAATGGCAGCCAAAGCCATATTGTCCTTCTTTGCTTCAACGAGGGTGTTAGCAGTTCTGGGTTCTACTGCATCCCAAACACCCTGGGCCAACATAAAGACCCTCATTTTGATTGCCCATGCACTGTAATTGCTCCTTGTCAACATTGGGTAGTGCAGGGTGATTTGCCCGTCTTTGTCACCATTCCCATTGTTGCCACTTCCTGCCATCTCTTCTTCTCTAGGTTGATACTTAGGCATGTACCAGGTATGCTCTGATACCACTTGTTGGCCTTTTTACAAGCCTGCAATCAATGGAACAGGAACAGGGGCAAAAAGAGGAAAAAGACAGAGCACACAAGTGCTTAAAGCTTGCAGCTTTCTGGAGCCTTTCTTCTTACTAAACTCAAAAAGGAAAAGTGATAAATACAACGTTACCACTAGCTATCTATTTAAACATGAAATAGTGCTAAAATTTCTGCAACTACCCCTACTAGCTTAAGACTCGGACTTTCAACAGCCAACATGGCTTGAATTATTCAGCACATAAAAACATGACATAAAACAATTAAAAAAACTATTTCTGAATTATTCCATCAACCATCTGACTTTAGTTTCACATAAGAAA